AGCAGGAATTGAAGTCCAAAACAAGTGAGTCTCTGGCTGCGTACAGGGCTGAAAGAAACAGGTTCTGGGGTGGCAGGTGGTCATGGAGCAAGAGGGAACTTCTGGGATGAAGACCATGCCCTGCCAAGTGGTCTGATGTTGCCCGCTTCCCTGTGTCTTAAGGCGGGTCGGTGCTGTTGAGCGGTAGCATCACTGGGGCTTTCATCTTGGTCTCTGAGGAGACTTGGCTCTCGGTGCTGTCTTCCGTACTCCTTTGGCTGTGAACTTTGGTAGGTTGGGCACATACAGGTGGTGTCACCAGGCCTGGCTGAGCTTTTTTTCTCAGCAGCCTGGTGGCTTAGGAGGCAGAGCAGGAAGGTAAGCAGGCCAGTGATACCTTATTAGCCATGTGCAGGCTAGGGAAATTGCCCATTTCTGCACAGTCTGACTGAAATCCTTGGTGGAAGAAGGAGTTTTCCCTCTGACTTGAGCAGACCTCGGGTTTTCCCCAGCACTTCCCCTTTGCCCGTCCTGCCCCCACAGGCATGTTCTTGGTGGCATTGTGGCTGATTTTTCCACCACTGCTTTTCTAAACCGAGCAGTGGGTATTTGGAGATCTCCAAAGCATGATCCCCATCTACTCCTGAGTATTGTGGGAGCATCTGCAGTGCTTCACCCTGGATTACTTTCAGGATGATGTTTTCCCAGGTTGGTTCTGGCTTGAATTGGCTGCTAGACATAGCAAAGACAGGCCTGGCGCACATGGTGTATGCTGTTTCAGTTGAGGGCCGGCTGGGTACTCTGATGTTACCTCTTACGGGGATGTCATTCCCTTGGAGTGACATGTTTGTCTAGCGTGGGTACAGAGAGCAGCTGAAGATTATCCACAAATCTTTTTGTAGGCCATTTTTAGACCCAGTCTATAAGCTGCCTGCCTCAAAGGATGCCAAGTTTCCAGGAAATAAAAAAATGTGGTTGGTTGGTTTTTTGTTGTGGTTTGTTTGTTGTTTTTTGTGTGTTTTGTTTTTTTTTTTTGAATTTTGAAACAGCTTTAAATTGGGTAACTGGATTAGCAAATTGCTGCTGTTTTTTACAGGGATGATTCAGGCTAGTGGAAAGCTTAATTGCTATGCTGTTAATCTTCATTACCATGCAAAATGCATGACAGAATATGGTACATGCGTGAGGATGAGGCGGGGGGCTTCAGTGTGAACACAGGAAATAGAAGTGAACCTCCAAATAAGGTGTCTTAACAAAAACTATTTGCTCAAGTGGAGTAGAGCATTCTGACATGCTCTAATAGATTTCCCTTCGCTCCTCCTTAGATCAGTGTGGCTCAATCCAGAATATCAAAGCCCTTTTGAAAAAAGCTGTTTTTGCTGTGGAGCAGTCCGGATCTAGAGCCTGGATTCCTTCCTCCTCTGTCCAGGATGGGAGGAGGAAACTTGCACTTGCCTTTAAGGTACTCTATGCTTAATCCAGGCTATTTTTCTCTCCCCTTCCCCATTTTGTATGACTGTGTGCTCTGAGGGCAAGTGCTCCATTTCTGCCTTCCTTCTTGGAAGGAGGGCAGGGAGCTTCATTTCCACAGTAGTAATTACAATTGTTTTATTTAAGTTGATGTGTAGGTCTTACTGAATTATCTGAGGGCTCTCCGGAAATGCGTCAAGGCAGGTGGCTCATGTTTCTCACATGGCTCTTTGTTTTCTCTCTGTACATAATAATATCTTTTGCTCTTATTGTGAAGAGTGGAGTATCACCTATGCTTTGGAATCAGGGAGGCTTTTTCTTGAGGCTTGCAGGGTTTTACTCCCTTTCCTGGTTCCGACTGCTGAGATGCCTGTGACTTTGGTCATCTGCTGCCTTTCCTGCAAGAGGGGTGAAACTTGCTTCTGTTTGCTGTCCCACAGTGTTCAGCAACCCTTAGGCTGGTTGAGTGTTTTAGAAGTAAGAAAAGGGGGAGCCCCTTAAATACAATCCAGCACCTTCTTAGGTCTTGTGCATCCCTCATCTGCCTCTTTGTTCCTGGCCTCCCCTGGGGAGCTTTCATGCCACCACTCGGCAGTGCACTCTGTCACACTTCACAGGAGCTGCCCATACTGATATTTCCAGGCTTATTCTGCTTATTCTCTGCTTCCAGCTTTCTTGTGCACAGAGAGAAGGCAGAGATTGGATGTAACCCCCTAGAACAATAGTGTGGGGTACGTTGTTTCTGTGCTGTCTGCTACCAGGATTTTGTAGACTTTCTGGGACAGAAGTGGCAAGAGGGTTTCTTATCATGAGCTGTGGCAAACATCCCATTCTTTGCTTTATAAATCAACAATATTCATTTAAAACAACTGCCTTGGTCTTAAAACCCTGAATTTATCTGATACTGGGGAATGGCAGCTTGCCACGTGTTGTATTGTTACATCAACATCCAGGAAGAATCCCTGGTGTGCTGTTGAGAGTGAATGAGTAGTTAATACTTGATTTTGGCCAGGGTGATTTCCCCAAGTACTCGTCAGAGGGTGTGGGGGAAGCAAAACTTCTTCCGAGTTGTGCAGCTTTGTCATCCAGACAGTGATCTACGTGTCAGAAAGCCATAGCTGAATTTGTGCTACTTTTTTTTTTTCTTTTTTTTTTTCTTCAGGGTTTGCACACAGCTTGTTGAATTGTTCGGGATGATGCAAGAAGTATTGGCTTTCTACATCAGATTTAGAACAAATGTTTTCTTGCCAAATGGCTCTCTGAGGCAAGGAGAGAGACTGTTGCAGTTGCTGTGGTTCTGATTAAATCAAACAAATGGCTACAGCGCAGTTGATTAACAAGCACTTTCTTTGAGTGCTGTAATCCTCGGCACTGTTGTTGCCTGACTGGTCCCTTAAGCAAACGCCAGCTCTCACCTGTATGCCATCCTACAGGAGTGACATACTGAGGCTAGTCTCAAACGGGAACCTCAGCTGGCAGTGTGTATGGCTCACAGCTGTTACAGCAGCCGATATCCGGTGTCTTGCTGGATTTGGCCCTGACGGAAACATCTGTGATCTGCATAACTGTGTCTGATGCGTGGACAAGGGCTGTGTGTATGTGTGTGACACAGTCTAGTTGAATGTGTCTGTCATATCTGCTTTTTAGAGATGGAGGCGTCCGTCTGATGCCTGTTACTCCGACATTAGCGAATTCTAATATATCAACGTGTGTTAGAGGAAAAGTGTTCCCAAATAAAACTGCCTGTCCCTAAGCAATAAGTACAGGACGCATCCTAAAGGATGCATCAAAAGAAGTTCTCTGCCAGTTCAGCACAGTCTGGTTTAATGTTGTTTAATTCTGGTTAAACTTAACTAGTTGACTCGCTGGTAAAAGGAAAGAAAATTGTGAATTGTTGTATTGTCTGCAGTACTGGCTAAGTTGTTCATATTTGGTTGTTTGGGGTTTTTCTATCCAACAGGTTACTGGTCATTTAGATGACTGCACCTGTGATGTAGAAACCATTGATGCCTTCAACAACTACAAGCTTTTTCCTAGACTGAATGAACTTCTGGAAAGTGACTATTTTAGATACTACAAGGTAATTTTCTCATACAAGAATTGTATTTATTTTGTGTGCTGCTTTTTTTTTTTTTTTAAATCTCCCTTGAAGTTATTGCTGATCTTTTTAAAATCAGATACCTACATTTTAATCCTGATCTTTTAAGAATGCAGTCAATAACTGGGACTCTTTTGTTATCAGGAGAATCTTAATGTGCTACAACATGCTTATAAGATGCACGATTTTAAAGATATTTTCTGATGCATTTTTCCCTCTTAAGAACTGAAGCAGTAGACCAACGAAATTCTTCCTTCATTGAGCTGTGGCTCAAAAATGTTGATGACTGGAGATCCACGTTGCATAATAAGAGTTTTGATAGTGTCTCACCTGACATGGAAAGCCTGGTTTAGTTACCAAACATTCAGGCGAATTGATGGCTGTTACTGCCAGACCATCCTCATTAGACAGATTATTCTCCCATTCAGTGAGATTGCATGTATGTGACTAAATGTGGGTTTTGTTTGAGTGTGCTTGGGTTATGGAGCAGTATTTTACCTGCTGCATACAGATACTGAACAGTGACTGTTGCCTGATTGTTTCTGCAGACAAAACAAGTATTTACTCTTCTGTAAGAACAGTTTAAAAAGTTCCCAACTTCACTGCACTGCAAACTAGAATGGGGCCATATATAAATCACTGAGGTAGAGCTCCTTCTCCCTGCTCCCCCTCTCTACCAAACCCACAAAATCTTGTTAGATGTTAATTGTTTTGGAAGAATGATACTTGATACCAACTCACATAAAAGAAAGACTAGAACTTGTTAAAGAAGTTAATGTCCTTTCCCCCTCCAGTGTTGGGATTTGTAATAGAAATACTAAGATTGGTCTGCATGAAGCATGAATGGAAATGTCTCTGTGTGAAAGCACCAGAAGAAACAGCAAAACAAGGATTAAAAGAATAACCTGTACTGATAATAAGGATGTGAACGATAGCAATCAATCTGGTTAACACCAAGGAATTATTTGTTCCCATTGAGCCCAGAAGGCTTGCACACCAATAAGTCCAGAACACAGATGACTTGACAGCAGAAGACCTGCGCTCTGGCCACGCGAGGATGGTAGCAAGGCTCTGGCATATCCTCTTCCTGCTCCTCTAGCAGGGAGGCAGGGCATCCTAAGATGCCCAAAATAAGGAAACAAAATCAACAGGGAGCAAACTTCCCCCAAGATTCATGGAGAATGAAGTGAGCAATATTCCAAAGCCAAAGATTGCCCGGTAGTAACTGTTGGGTCCTACAGGGTACAAATCACGTGGCCAAAACCCAGTTTGTCATTGCCCAACAGGAGCCTCAGAATGTGATTAGGAATCAGTGGCCCATCTGTCCTCTCTTCTGTGTTACCACAAACAGTCCTGGCCAGGCTGCACAGGCAGACATATCTTGTATGAGAAACGAGAGAATGTGTGAGATCAACTTTGTTTAAGATAAATAACACCATCTGTTTTCACTCAACCTTGCACGAAGTTTTGTTATCTGAAGTCTTGCACTAAGGCGCTGAAGATGTGTGTTGGTAAACTGTGGTGTGGAAGGTTGGCTTGGTTGCTCAGAGGAAATGTGTAATAGGATAATATGTTATTTGTAGGTAAACCTGAAGAAACCTTGTCCTTTTTGGAATGACAACAGTCACTGTGGAATAAGAGACTGTGCCGTAAAGCCCTGCCCATCTGTAAGTACCAAATTCATTCTTTTACCTCTTTTCTATATTTGGCTTTTGCAGATCAGGAGGAAGAAGCAGGCAAATTCCTTACTCTTCTCATTATTGTAGCTATAGCAAAACTATGGCTCTGATGGAGCTTTTTTAGGTGCAGAATACTGGTATCCATGAGAAAGGCCAAAATGCTAAATTCTGAAAGTTTAAAGAAAGGCTAGGCTTTTAATAGCTGACCTTCCGTGAATGGCCAAAAACTTGTCCTGGTCCCTCTCTTATTTTTGGTATTAGTGAGATGGTTTTTGGGCAAATCCACTGTTGTTAAAAGAAGTGCCTCTTGTGTTAACTGCCCATGAGCTACACTGTGATTTGCAGTTTTGGCTGACAAATTTGACGAGGCCCTTTCCAGCCCTCTCTCTTTATGTGAAATGGTTCTTTCCAAGTCCTGTTTCTCAGTTCAAAAGCAAGCACTCTGGTCCCTGTATCCTGGACAAAAGGGTTTTGTTCATTGAGCTCAAAGAAAACATCTTGACTGCAGGTGTCTGTCTTGAAAAGAAGGGGCCGAGAAAGCGAGTGAATCGGAACTTGGTTGCTGGGTTGATTGAGTGGTGAAAATGCCACCCAGCCAGTGAAAGAGGCCGCCTGACGCTACTTGCATGCATTTTTCCAACTCGCTGCTTTATTTTCATGTATGATTTAAAGTATGCTGCAGTGAAGCAGGTGTCTGTCCCCCTCACCTGGTAACTCTGTGGTAACCTGCTGTAGTGTAGCTGTGGGCTGAAAAAAAAAAAAAGCTGCTATGACACCTCGAAAGAATCTGGTACAGGTGTGTGTGTGGGCATCAGTTGTTATATAAATTCTCATATGTATGTTAAATTCATTTGCCTTCTCAGCAACTACCCTACCCCTTAAACAAGTGTCCTTTGCTTCCCTAGTCTTCAAAAAGGCACCTATTATGGACCCAAAATGGAATGATGATTTTTTTTTTTCCCCCCTCAAAAATAACCCTAAATTTTGTTTAAATACTTTTTTCCTTAAAAAGGATGTTTTTGGTAACGATGATGGCCAATATGATGGAGTAATGTTATAATTACATTAGTATTAGCTAGAAGTTGTTTTTATTTTAAGAACTGACTGTGTCACTGCTGTTTTTAATTATTTTGATTTGGGTCCATTTCATTCTGAAAGCAACAAAAATAACGCTTATTCATTGCTTAATTTTTCTCTTCCTGTGCTGTTTGCCATCACAGTATTTGCTCCTGCAGTGTAGAAGTGGTTTTACTGCCTTCCTACTAATGGAGGAAATGGAAGTTGAGGAGAATTTAGGGCCCGATTGTCTTGTATGTACTGCTCGGGTTGCGTGGGGCTGGCAATGTTATGTGATGGAGTGGTAAAAAGGGAGTTTTTGAATGACGTGTATCAGGGGCTGGGAGTTGCAATATCTGAGGAGGCGCCTGGGCTCCTGCCAGGAGCGCCGGCATCACCGGGAGACAGGATGCCAGACATCAGCTGACCAGAGGCAACTCCAGCTCCTCTGAAGTTTATGTTGGCTTCCCCAACCTCATGCTTGGGTAAGCAAAACATAACCTGACATAGCACCCGTTGGAAGGCTGCTGACCTTTTGAGAAGCGGAGTCTTGCGAAAAATGAAAATAAAACACCAAGAATATTGCTTAACCTTAGTCTGTGGAGGAGCCAGAAATTGGATGTGTTGTAAGCAAAGCTGAGTGCTTTGATTACCTTCTAACTTCCAGAAGCTGTAGTAACCTTCCTAATCTTTCTCAAAGATTAGGCTGAAAGGCCTCATCAGCCCCACATGTAGCACATGCTCGATTTTGTCTTTCAGGATGAAGTCCCTGATGGAATCAGATCGGGAAGTTACAAGGTAGGTGTGCTTGTGTGCACAAAATGACACAGCTTATAGGACCAGTTTTGTGTCACTGCAGCTGATAAAAGCTGCCTTAATCAGATGGGTAGTATTTGTTGGGATGTGCTTTGTGGCTGAATTTTTACCCTCTTCAAGTGTTTGGGATGCTATAGAGCCTTTGAGATGGCTGTCCTGAAGTCAGGTATTCCCCTCCACTGATGTAGAGCAGTTTAGGAGACTTCTCCAAGAGCAGGTGTTCTCAGGCACAAAATGCTCCTACAGCAGTGCCAGAGGCTGCTGTGAGTCCCTGCAACAGTCACCACAATTGCATAAGCCTCTGAATATCTGCAGACATCCTGTGGAAATACAGGGTGGGGTGAATCATAAAAGTGTTTCTGATACTTAAACTGGTTAGTGCATTAAAGGCAGAATTATAACAGCAGAAAAACTGCTTTTTAATCCTCCTGTCTCCCCACCCCTTTGTTTTTCAACCCAGTATTCGGAAGAAGCCAATAACCTTGCTGAAGAATGTGAAGAAGCAAAGAGACTTGGAGCTGTTGATGGCTCTTTGAGGTTTGACTTCTTTTTCCACAATCCTTACTTGTCTTGAAGGGAACTTAGTATCAGTTGCTCTTTCTGATAGTCTTTTTCCACTTTTTTTGCAGCAAGGAAACCCAGCAGGCAGTGCTCCAGTGGACTCGGCACGATGACTCTTCAGACAGCTTCTGCGAAGCTGATGGTATAGGGACCTGTTTGATCTGACAAGTCTTGTAATGGGATTTTAAGCACCTCTGCAGAAGTTTCATGCCAATGTGTAATATTTCAGCATGCCTGGAGCATATATAGCATTTCTTCTATTTTCCACCCGCCCTGCCCTCAGTATTTTGAAAATAATGTGATGCAAATATTTCTGACAAAGCTTCATTACTGGTCAGGGTCTTGCCGTGTTTAGCAAGTTAGCAGCTTGGATGGAGCACGCTCAGAGTTTACTTTGCCATCAGCGGCCTTGCGCTCCGATAGCTCTGAAGGCCAGAGAGCTTTACGCTGCTGCAATGGGTTGATGCATAGAAAATATTATGCACCTGCCTCTCTGGAGAAGGATGAGCTGGTCTCTCTGCTGGCAAGACTGTTCAGTATGCGAAGGGGTGGCTGGATCAGCCTTGGAAGATGTAATTTTCCTTCAGAAGTTTTTGTCACTGACCCAGCACTCTGCTTTGCAGACATCTATTCTCCTGATGCGGAGTACGTGGATTTACTCCTGAATCCTGAACGCTATACTGGCTACAAAGGACCGGATGCCTGGAAAATTTGGAACAGTATTTACGAAGAAAACTGCTTCAAGTAGGTGTTTTGGGAGACAGGTTTCACAAGCCTGCAGGCGCTTGTTTTTGCAGAGGGGCTGCATGTGCTTTAACTGCTCCATTGATCCCCATCCTCCTGTCTTTGCTGCAATGCTTGTGCAGTGTGGGCTGTCAGAGGAGGGGACAAGCCATGCGGCTGCCCCATGAGCCCCCTTCGGCTGTTCTTTGGACCACAGCTTGCCCTGGTGCAGGCTCCCAGTGCAAGCACTGCAGTGTGGTGTGACAGCCGCCTGGCAGGGGGTGCACATCTCTTGTGTGATGCGGTGCTGGGCACACGGTCCTGTCCTCCCTGGCCGCTGCAGGGAGCTCTCTCCCCAGTCTGTGTGCCGATTTGAGCTCTGCTGTGGGTACCCCTGGGGCTGATGCACAGTACTGGTGGGCATTGGTCTGTAGTCTTGCCTGCTCTGATCTCTAGTAAGTTCTTCCCCATTCGTACCGGTGTATCGTGTTGTACCACGGCCATGGGATAATGTCCACTAGCACCTCTGTAGACACTTGAGTTTTCCTAGCTGTTCTTTCTAAAGAAAGAAGGGGGGAAGAAAAAAAGAGAAAGCCACATTTTGCTCTACCCCTTTCCTGTCTGAGCAAAGCTAAACAGAAGGAGGTCTAAGAACTCCTTAGGCTATTTGACTGCAGATAAGTTACTGCTTTTGCTGCGCTGTGTTTCTGCACAGCAAGGAGACAGTCACTTATTTACATATCTTATTTAAATGATTATTTTTTCTTCCTCTTAGGCCTCAGAATGTAAAAAGACCTTTGGCATCTGGTAGAGGTGAGTCATTTATTTATCTCACTAAGTGGTTTAGTAGTGTACTGATCCTAGCTCCAGGAACAGTAAATGCTCTCTGAGCTACTTCTACTGAATGAGAAATATGTTGTAGCTCTTGATGAAGTGTAGAATTTTATGGCTAACGCAAGGGCACCTGGAAGTGTGGCTTTCTAGCATCCATCATGAAGAAAGGAAGTCTGATCCTCCACTCCTGGAAGAAATGTGAGCTTTGGAGGGACTGGGAGCAGGACTGAACCCCGAGCTCTTCCTGGGTCCCTGGTTTCTGTACTCAGCAATGCCAAACCATCTGTGACGGACTGAAATGAGAACCTGGCTGGGATCCTCTGTGGAAACCATCCAGCAAGAGACACACTGCCCTAGAGGCTAAGACTAGACAGTGTAAATGAAAGTAGGGAGGGGTTCTGGAAGCATAAGAGCTTCTTGCCCAAGGCTGCTAAGAGACCCCATGTCTCCTGATGCCCCATCCTGCCCAGACATCTAGAACGTCATCAACCTCACTCTCCATGTTTGACCTGAACACCTCTCCAGCAGTACCCTCTGGGGTGATCTTTTGATTTTCCCTAAACTGCAGGTGCTTTCCCACCTCCCTTGACCCTTGTGCAAAGGAGCAGCACTGGTGAAGGAAATGTACAATGTCCTTTAAAATATCAGTGCTTCCCTTGACCACCTCTGTTATTTAGGGCAAGATCTGAATGAAATAACACAGGTACGTTGAGGGGAGAGGGAAGGACTGCTGTTTTGCAGAGGAGGAAGCAGGAGGACATGAAAATAGAGGGTCTGACCTGATATCTGCAAGGGTTGTTGCAAGCAACTAGTAAACTGCAGGAAACAAGGATGGGGTCCTTGAGTATCCTGTTGGAGGTCATACAGGAGATCCCTGGCAGAGGTAGACACCTGTGTCCCTTGTTTTCCAGTCTCTCCTTCAGCTATGTGGTAGTTTTACTTCCTTTGCAGATATTGATCCCTCCTGCGTTGGTCAGGTTATTCAGTAGCATTGCTCATCTGGTGTGTTCACTGCCGCAGTTTGAGATGATGTCTCCTGTGTTCAGAACATTTCTAAACCTCCCTGGAGAGGTTCGCTCTCTCGTCAGAGCAGATTAACAGAGCAATCTTAATGCTTGTGCTTTGGAGTTTAATTTTGGTCATGTGTAATTTTTATCTCCTCTTTTCTCTCCCTCCACCACTCATGCCTTTTTTCATCAGGAGATGATGGAGGTGAGTAGCACTCTGTTTGTTTTTACTGATAACAGAAACAAATGTGGCTTCTTTATCATGCTGTCACGAGCTCTACCGTTACATAATGCACCTGGTTAGCAAAATCATTATTCAGGAAAAATCAGAAGTTGTCTTGAAATTCTGCTGTGTTCAGGACCCTGTGGAGAGATCCCCCTGAGCTCCTGGTCCCTGAGGCCAGCCCATCCTTGCGCGGAGGCCTTAAAAAGCACCAGCAGTTTTTTCAGAGTACAAGTCGCATTTGAAGGTAGTCACTGAAGTGTCGTAAGCCTTCAGGAACAGGACTTGCGTTGTGGGTTTTTTTCAGCGCTTGTTATTGCTGAGAAAGCAGCTCTCAGGCTGGAGCTTTGACAAGACTCATAGTCCCAACAGCCTCTGACAGCTGGTAGGAGCTGGGTGCCCAACTCTCTTAGGCCCTGCAGGGCTCACATCTGGGAAGGGCTGTTTGTCCTTTGCAGCACTGGGCCTGTGTATATGACATGTCTTTTTTTCCGTATTATCTCCAAATCCATGTTGATGTTCTCTAGATTACTTTCAAGCATGTAGTAGTGGGTAGCGTGAAACACTGACTTGTGTGATTGTATACACTGGGTTGCACTGTGTGGGGTTTTTTTGGTTGGTTGGTTTGTTGTGTTGTTTGTTTTTTTAATAAAAATACCCCTCTCCCTGCCCTGGCCAGAAGAGAAAAGCAACCTGTGATCCTTGTTTCCCCCTACGCTGTGCTGTTCTGCAGCACTTCTGCTCCCCGCAGCCCTTGCTGAGATGGGTGGGAAAGACCACGTGCTATGTTTAGCTGGTGCCACGCTGTGTTATAGAAGCATCAGTCGGAAGGGTGAGGAGGAAAACTATTTTCATGCTTTTCTAATGCTCCTTTCCCTGCTTCTGCAAACTGGAGTGGGCAGAGGTCCTCTGGGGGCTGGCCTCAGAGGTGGTTTCAGGGCATCAGGCTTGGGCAGTACCCTCCGCTCTGCTGTTGCTCTCCTGTGCCGCAGAGGGGAGGGTACTGCCCTGTCTCATTTATGTATCATCCTGTTGTGCTCTGAAAGGTGTGGCCAAAGAAGTAGCCTAAAACATGACACTGCATTAAAGCCCTCCTGCTGCTGTAAGGCATCTCAAACTGATGTGCTTGTTTTCCTTTTGTTTCCAGGGCATACGTTTTACAAGTGGCTGAAAGGTAATCCTTTTTCTAAACTTGGTTGCTCTTCCTGGGATGAACGCAAAATAGCTAGGGAGTGGGTGGGAGTTACTGGCCACGCTCAGGTGGGATTAGATTTCTGTCTGACAGCCAGGAGAGGAAAATGTAATGTATGCTTTCAGTATCTTAAAGCGCCCATTTCTTTTCAGATGTCTGTGTAGAGAAACGAGCTTTCTACAGACTCATTTCTGGTCTCCATGCAAGCATCAACATCCATTTGAGCGCCAGGTACCTTTTACAAGGTAAATGCTACTTTCTACTTTAGCTCTCCCGCATCAGTCCTAAATTGACACTTCTGTGGCTCAGCTAAATGCTAGCTGGAGCCTGTTCCAGCAAGGTTCAGGCCTACTTCTGTGCTCTTCTCTTCCCTCCCTCAGCACACAGGTTGTGTAACAGAATCAGGAATGCAGTTACCACATGCCTTCAGGTCTGAAAATGGCTGGACTGTGCTCTGTACCAAGTCTTCCAGCACGTATTCCTTCTATTCTTCCTCCAGGGTTATTTTGGAGTGGGTTTCTAACTGCGTATCGAGGCTGTCCCTCATCTTTATCACGGTCAGTTTAGCAATAATCTCACCTAGACTGTGAAATGCTTGGCTGGGCTTTCCCAAGAGCCTTGATCCGTTTCCATATGCCATTTCCATTTCCTTTGCGTGCCTTTGTCCATAAGTAGCTATCTGAAGAATCTAAATTGAAAATCTAGGGTGATGTGAAAACATGATTTGTGTGTGTCTCGCGTGGCCAAGGGCTGTGGCATGCTGCTCATGCAGGTTCTGACTGACTTCCTGAAGGATTTAGTCATGGTAGTTTAGAGTGGTACCTGTGGACCAAACCTGCCACCTTTATTCTGCTAAAGCTTACAAAAATCAAGTACAGATTTAGAGATAGCTGTTGGAATTTGGATAAGTAATTTAGATTTAATTAAGTAATTATATTTAAGTCTCTACAGCCCACGTAGGCCTCACCTTGATGTGAGTTAGACTACGTTAGAGTTGGGAGATAGAATAACAAGAGAAACATCAAAGGCAAGAGATGAGTTGGGACCGCAGAGAGGATTAGCAAAATAAGGGTGGCTACAGACAGCCAAGTAAGTGTCTTTGGCTTGTGTAGAAAGGGATAGCTTCTGCTGGTGAAAGGCTACAGAAGATGGTCTCTGCTCTGAGAGGAGGTTCCTGGGCTCAGCGTGGGTCCATGCAGGGATTCCCATCTGCAGGTGCCGTGATCACCTTGTAGAGCTCACAGCTCAGAGTTGGGGAGTCCTTTCCTGCTGGGCTGGTTATCTATTGGTGATTTAGAAGATAAAGCTTCTCCCATTTTTTTTCTTTTTTATACATCAGCTTGATATGACTGTATTATATCTTCCACGACATCATATAATCTTAAGTACACGATGAGATGAGCAAACAGAAGCATTCTTTGAATGCTGTGGGTTTGATAACGGAAAATAGAGGCCAGTCTCCCCCAATCCTTGGCTGCTTTTGTTCTCTTCCATTTCCACAATAGAATGAATTCTCCTAAGATGTCCCCGTTCATTAGGGACCCTCCCAACCTCTGGCCCCCACGCTGCTTCCCAGTGCAACGTGATCAGGAGGCCGGCGCTGTCTGCCTCTGCAGACACTCAGACCAAAGGAGAGACCTCTTCTGAGTTCTGCAGTAAGCCGGCGGCTTTTGTGGTCAGGAGTGAAGGAACAAAGGGACCTCCAGTCCTCTTCACTTGCAGACAAATGTTGAGCTATCACCAGCTTACATAGAGCTGCTCTCAGAAACAATCAGCTCAGCTGACAAGAAACTCTTCAACTGATGTAACTCTGTTTAAAATGGGCAGCCTCCGTTTTTAGCTTTTGCTTGTAAGCCTGGGTCATGTTTTAAACCAACTGACAAAGCTCTGCACGACTTCTGCACTTGTTGGGGTTTGAGTTTGGTTAAAAGCATCCCTCTCTTGAACAATTTGCTGTTAGTGAAAGGGCTGTGACTATTGTGAAGCTTGGATGTCCCTGGTTAGAGTTACATTTCACCATTTAGCCTGAGACGGCAGGACGAGACGAACCAGAATTGTACCCATCCACCTCATGTCATTGTTTTGGGTTTTTTTTGCTCTCTCAGATACGTGGTCAGAGAAGAAATGGGGCCCCAACGTTACAGAGTTCCAGCAGAGATTTGATGAAGTCATCACCAGAGGGGAAGGTCCCAGAAGACTCAAGAACCTGTATTTTCTCTACCTGATAGAGCTGCGGGCCCTATCCAAAGTGCTGCCGTTCTTTGAGCGCCCAGGTTTCCAGCTGTATACGGGGAATAAAAGTCAAGATGCGGAAATGAAAAACCTATTGCTGGAAATTCTCCGTCTGGCCAAGTAATTACATTCGGTACCTGGGGAGAATGGCTCTTTCAACTCTGGCATCTCTGAGCGTGCTTAACCTTTCACTTAAAGCGCCTAGAAAGGCAGGTTCTGGGTTCGTTCTTGTAGGGGGATAGTGTGATTTGTGCAGTAGGATAATATTGCTGGGAGTATGTTGGTATCTGTATTCAAATTGCAAAACAGGGTAATTAAGCCTACAGTTTAATAGTCTAGGCTGCTTTTTTGATTTAGCAGAATTGAATTTAATAATCGCCTATGTGTCAGCCCTGAAATTGGCTACCTGTTTGACTCATCTGTGGAATACCACTCCTGGCTTCGTGTTTTTGACTAGAAAAAAAAATCCTAAACATGTTGGTAACAGAGATTTGGGCTGTTGAACAGAGCTTGGAGTAAGAGGAATGGAAGATACTGGAACCAGATGGAAATGCGTGTCTCCTAATGCGATCGATGTTTGAATTTATCTTGTCACACTCTTGTGCCTTCAGTGCTTACGTCTGTTAGAAAACAGATTACAATTGCTTAGAAACCGTAGAGCAATTGCTGAAAATGTCTCCAAGGTGAGATGCAAGCTAAAATTGAAAGCCTCCAAGAGATTTAAGAAACAAGCAGCTTGACTTAAAATACATGTAGAGACGTCCAATGTCTAACACCTATCGGTTTCATTTGCACACCTAACCAGATACTTCTGTGGGTCTGGACGTCAGCCGTACAAACAAGCTGTGGAGAGCTAAAACTCTTTTCATTCTGTTTCAGGTCTTTCCCACTGCATTTCGATGAAAACTCATTCTTTGCAGGGAATAAAAAGGAAGCTGCTAAACTAAAGGTAATTGGCCAGTCCTTCCCTTTGGGGCACTTGCTACCTAAAGGGTGTTTTCAGGTGTATGTCTGGGATAATACTAGATCTAAAAGGGTCTCCCAGTATGTGCAAGGTACCGGATCAGGTATTTCCAATTCATTTTGCTTTCTGAATGGTTTTGGATACTTGCGGGTAACTACAGACTGTAGGGTGTGCCTTAAGGAGAGCAGTGAATTGCTGCTGAGGACCCCACTGCAGGAGGCATTTCCCTAACTCAGTCCCACTGAATTTAGCCTGAAATCCAGAATTAATACATTATTGGATTTGGATTAATACATGGAAGAAGTCCTAATTAGTGTGTAACCACGATCAACTTGAATGTCTTTTCCCCTAGGAGGAATTTAGGCTACACTTTAAGAATATTTCTAAGATAATGGACTGTGTTGGCTGCTTCAAATGTCGCCTGTGGGGGAAGTTGCAGGTAAGATTTGTCAGCAGCTGGGGACGTGTCTGGAAGCACCTCATCTGACGGGAGCGCAGATACCGTTTGTAGATACCGGTCAGCTCCTAGATACAGATCGGGGCTGCTTGAGTTCAGCAGGAAGCAGTGTGCTGATTCCAGCTTGCTGGGCCTGGTAGCAGCTGCCTGTTGCCTTTGCAGTTGAAAACTGGGTTAACCTGCTACAGCTGCTCCCCGAGAGAGGGGAGGGGGTGCAGAGGCTCTGGCAAGGGAGGCAGAGGGTGCTATAAAACTGGGGGTTCAGTGAGATCTGCACTGAATTTTACATGGGGTCAAACCTAGACAGAAAGCCTCTGTTGGGTAGCTCTGCCATCACAGTAACGCTAAATAAATAAAGCGTCCTGTTCTGCTCCCTCCTCTGAGCTGTGGTAAGTGAAATCCAGGTCTTGCTCTGTTAAGATGATGTCAACGGGAATCCTTGCAAAGATGAAGGAGGGAAGTAAAGTTAAACTTGTGAGTCAGGCCCTGGATGTCTCCCTGCTATTAAATGACCTTGTTTGTCATGCACAGACGCAGGGCTTGGGTACAGTGCTGAAGATCCTCTTTTCTGAAAACCTGATAGAAAAGATACCTGAAAGTGGCCCTTCCTATGGATTCCAGCTGACAAGACAAGAAATCGTTGCCTTATTTAATGCTTTTGGAAGGTTAGTTTGAGACTTTTTTCTCTACTTTTACACAAGCTGCTGTGTTGCATCCCATTTAACTTAAACAGTCAGTTCTCATCAGCAGTATTGGTGTTAACTCCTGCTCTGATCATACTGTATCATAAAGAAGCTCTCAAATATCAGATGATGTTAATATGGAGTGCAATAGTTGGAAAAATTTAAAACAATTTGTTTATACTCTAAATTTCTGTAAGAAATTCAAGGAAGCATTTGTATTAAGATTCAAAGAATTTAGTGATTTTTAAGAAACTGCATGACTGTCCTCAGAGCACATTGTCCCCAGACAAGGGTTGCTGTTCTTGTTGTTCTTGTTCTACATTTAGAGCTCTCCTTCAAGCTTCTCACTTCCACCAATTTGTTCCCAAATCTGTTTGTAATGGTTGCATTTAGCAGGAATCCATCAGTCCAGCCCTTGTGGAGAGCTGGATGAGGAGTTTTTGGCAGTGAAGGAGGGTAACGTGGCCTTTAGGAGAGAGAGGCAATTGCAAGACACTCTGGTTATACATTACCGCTTAGTGGTGTTGACAGACTTGGAGTTTCTGGCAAAACAGGTTTTTCAATGGATTCTTCAGGCGACGTTGCTGCCGATGCTGAGGCTCAGGGGTCCTGCTGTGTCTCGCTTGAAACCTACTGCAGTGTGAATGGCCAGCAGTGGGGAGACCCTAATGTGCATCAGTCAAATTTGGAAAACCCAAGAATACTCTTCCCCAGGGATGTGGTGGTGCTCCCCTCCTGAGCAGAGTTCCCCTTAGGCCAGAGGAGCTGGGCTTCCTTCTGCCTTCCTAGAGCTGTGTCGACGCAGCCTTTGGAAGCAGCATGCAGGAGACTTACGGACCCTCTGAACATCTGTTTGCAGAGGAAGTTGAGTGAGGGCTGGGAGGCAAAGAGCCTTTTTCTTTCTTCCCCTTCCACCTCTGCTGCCCAGCTAAAACTTTACCCTGGAAGTCCTCTGCTGTGTGAAAAGACTGGGGCCAGGCAGTGCTTTCTCAGACTCCCAACTTTATATCCCACCTACCTGGATTAGAAGAGCCTTTTAAAATAGACCTCCATCTTTTGCTTGTTGTTCACAAGTGATTTGGGTTATTCAAAACCTCCTTAAAACAGAAGTTTGTCCTGGCTGGGAAGGGCAGACCTCTCCTTTACGGGAGAGGCGCTCACGGCCGTATCCTCGGAGTCTGATCTGGTATCTTTGCTGATGCTCCAGGGGCAAAATGCATTCAGCAAGAAAATGAGGTAGGCAATTAAAAAAAAAAAAAAAAAAACAAAAAACAACAACCTTCAGAAGAAACAAGCTTATATTGCAAGGAGACTCTGTGACCTGCCTGCACAGCTGATAATATTATGGTCTGTTTCTTGACCTCTAGTTAATGGGTTTGTCTGATCACTGCTGAGCTCTCTGTAACATCCTGTTCCACTGTGTTTTTCAGTGTTTGCTTTAAAAAGAGTCTGCAAAATTAATGAAGGGCCTGATTGTAACCAGAACCTAATTTAGCTGAAATTCTAAATTCTCTTTTCCTAAGAGCTGCTTGAAGCTTTACTTGATAGCAGTCCCTTTCTCTTGAATTTTGAATAAGGCGTGATGCATATGTTACTCTAATGTTTCCCTTTTGCTCTCCTCGCACACAGGATTTCAACAAGCGTTAGAGAACTGGAAAACTTCAGGAACATCTTACGAAATATGCGGTGAATTCATTGGAGAAAGAGAGACTCAAACTTTTACTGCTTGGCTGTTCTGGGTTCTCTAAAAAAGGACAGATGCCATCATTCCATCACACTCCCGACCACTACACGGTGAAGACCACTTGCTGGACCTCCTCTTCCCAGCTGATTGTCTGTAACCTGCTGATGACAAATACTGTGTACAACGAGAACAGAAAAAAGCTACTTTTTTGTTTGTACAAAAGTGGGGACTATATGTGAAGTTTATTTTATATATTGGAAGATCATTCTGAATAACTTCTTTAAATATTGCTGTACTATTCTGATGGATTAGATCCATCTCTTTGCTTTCAGAAGCTGGAGGTAGGGCAAAAACTGTGACTGAATAAATTTGGGGAAAATTCCTTGTCTGCTCCTTGATTCCAACCAGCCAGACACTTACAGTGTCTCTACGCTAACTTCCTGCTGCATAAAAAAGATGGCAAGGGATTGTGGGAACCCCCTGTGCTTCAGAGCTGCTGCTGTACCAAGGTGCCTTCCTCTTCCTGGTGAAACTTTCTCATGGCAGCGGGCTGTTCCTCATGGTCTCTGCTGCACTAACCCTGCTGCGCTGACTGTGTGCTGTAGGCTTCAGTGAAGGCAAGGGGAGATGAACCAAGAAGCAGCATGCTGGAGGAACCCTGCTACTTGCTGTTTGGCCAGCCTTGTGCCTCCATCTTGGCTAGAACCTTGGGGGAGCAACAGCGCTGGTTCCCTGCTGCCTGGTGAGGAGTAAAAGTGTGCTCTAAAAGGTGGCTCTGGGTTTTGCTCTCTTGAGGGAAGGAGAGGGTGGGTAATGATGAGGCTAAGGCAAACGCAGGGCAAGCACAGCCCTCTTCTACCTGCTGTCAGGAACCAGAGGTGTGGCAGAAAACAGGGCTTTGTTATGAGCCCCGCAATGCTGCTCTGCTTGCAGCCAGCACCTGAGGGCACCCCCCCTCCTCATTTAGGGCAAGGGGAGCCAGCAGTCAGCCGTACCCCTGCACCCCACCTGACTGTCTGTGGGGCAGCAGCTGCTGCCAGGACCCAACTTACAGCCTCTCCCTGCAGCCCATGCTGGGACCTGCTGGCCTTCTGCTCCTCCCAGCCTGTTAAAGAGGGTTTGTCCTCTTTTGGGATCCACTCGTCTCACACTGGTAGCCGGGCAGGGCTAAAAAGGGAAAGGACGTACTCGCCGCGGGGCTGCTGCTCCTCAGAGGCGGCGCAGAGCTGCTCAGTGGCTGAAGCCAAGTTGAATTTTACCGCTCCAAGGACAAGCAGCTGGGGAAGTAGGACAGAGAGCTGCTGTGGCAGAGCAGAGGTCAGCCGCAGCCACCCATCTATCTCAGTAAAGTGAGGGGCGAGACACCCCAGCCCTGCTGCAAGCTGGGTCCCGCAGGGATAGCGCCAGCCATGATTACACCATCCGCCTTCGCAACAGGGGCAAAGGACAGGCTCACGTGTGGTCAGTGCTGCCAGAGAACAGACACCCCCAGCACGGCCCCGTGCAGCAAGGGGGTGTGGTGGCCCCAGCAGCCGTGCTGCTGTTAACCCCAAGCCCCCAAAACATGCTGTGGGGGCAGGTGCTGCTGCACAGGAAGATGCAGCATGTGCTCCAGCTAAGCTGCTGCTGTTTGCAGTGAGCTCAAGGCCACACAGATAAACGTGTGCAAGGAAATAAGGGAAGCGGCAAGTTACTGAGCTGAGGTTTTCAGCTCCTCCACAGCTCAGTGCCGCAGAGGAGGCTGGAGGGATCGCAGGTCCCAAGAAGGGGACAAAGCACAGCCCACACCCTGAATTGTCTCCCGACCTGCCCTGGGAGCTGTGTGTGTGGAAGCGAAGACAGTGAGGTACAGAGGATGTGGTTCAAGCATGTTGTGCCTCACAAGCTGGGGACAAGGGGAAGCACTACATCCCTCTGAGCCACAGCCAGCCCCAAAAAACATCAGAGGATAAAGCACACGGCAAGGGCAGGGGGAAAGCAAGCTGCTCTGCTCTCCCCAGCCCCAGAAAACGACAGCTGCAAAGGGGAACTGCAGGACCCCTCGCAAAAATCACCTCTGGGTGCTCTGCACCCAACCAGATTTAAGCCTGGAGAGGGACTTGAGGGGATGCTGCAGTCACACTGGAGCGAGCTACACCAGGTCTGACTCAGCCCTCACAGCCCATCAAGAAGCAGCTTTACCGAGTTTCCGGCCATGGCTTGGCAGTGCAGTCAGATATCCAGGGTCCTGTGCTGGCACAGCCAACCCAGCCCCCGGCCAGGACAAGGGGGACTGCAGGACCACGGCTGGAGCTGGCTGGGCTGGGTCGCACCAAGAGCAAAACGCAGCCAGGCCGCCAGCAACCTAGCACAGAAACTCTTTTTTTTTTTTTTATTTCAACATAGTAGTGCTTGGTTACAGTTTAGTGAAGAACAAATAGGTACATTCATTGGCCACAGCTTCCTGTTGCAGCCAGCTGCTGCCTGACTGCAAAGCCAAAACACTGTTAAACCATACCAAAAAAAGAAAGTTTAATGAAAGGCAACTATGCATTAAAAAAGTCATTGTACTTCTCAGCTATAAATTACTTCAGTAAAACACGGGACTGGCCCCAGCAGGAGCAGTCAAGAGTTTTGAAATTAACGGCCATCCGTACAAATGAATAAAACCAAAACACTTTGCCAGTCACTCACAAGTACATTAGCAACGAGACTCACTGCCCCGACCTGCCATCCTAATGCCAGGAAGATCATATTGTTGTTGTGTGCTTCAGTGCAATATGAACAATGAGCCTGTAGCCCTTTAATTTTTTATTTTTTAAGGTTTTTTTTGCACTACTCTCCTTTCCCTCCAAAGAAAAACTTAAAGTGCTCCTAGTGCTTTGGAATTTAAGCAAGAACAGGGGCCACTAGCATCACTTACTGTCTTTGGTGACTTATGGGAGAAGAAAGAAGGGCAATGCACTGAGTCCAGGTCCTTCATTAGCTTTGCCATAAGTCAAGCAGTGATTGAGATGGAGCAACCTGTTTCTGCACCCCAGCCGAGGCAAGGAGACCAGTCCCTTACACCACGAAAGGTAGCGCAGCCAGGAGAGCCACAGCAGTCAGGGTGGAGCTCTCTGGTTCAAGTACTAGAGCAAGAGGGATGTGCTGAAAGTTGTCATCTCGGCCCCTTCTCCAAAAAGAAGCAGGGGTTGCTCCTTTTTTTGGGCCAGCAAGAGTGAAGCAGGTTAGCAGGGAGAGGCCCACAAGCCAGCACAGGAGACCACACAGAGGGACAGGGTGTTCTCAGTGTGACAAGTGACACCTGGCTCAGTACAAGCAAGGTGGGTGATCAGGTGACCAGGCCATACCAGTGAGCACACAGCAAGTGAGGAGAGGCTGGGGCTGCCCTAGCACTTGGAGTTTCTCCCACACACAGTGGTGGGGTCCCTCCAGCATCAGACCCCAGCCCAGTGTCCCACACCCAGAGTGAAGCAGCACTGTACCACTCCACGCACAGGTAAGTCCTTCACCCCAGCTGGGTCCATCAGTGTCAGACTTGGGTTTGAACAGCAGGAGCAACTCTAGGTAGGTTAAAAGCAGTTCCAGTTCAGGTTGTCACTAGAGGTCCCTCCCAGGACCAGTGCCTCCATCTAAGTCTGTGTCCAAAGCTGCTTTACTCATCCCCACATAGGGCTTAGGAACAAGCCAGGAATAACATCAAGCCTCATCTCCAAGAGCCCAATGGAGCTACAGGTCAAACTTGCCTATTTTGGTTAAAGAAACCTCCTCCCAGACTGACCCAGTACACTCAAACCCCATGTACACCAGTAAGCCCTGCTGACACAGCTACTGTGGCAGTGGGAGGACTCCAGGCCCACAGTCCTGCCCCATGGCAGGGGAGAGCAAGGGAGGCCAGGGACCAGATCGCCACAGCATCTGCCACTTCCCTCTGCAACAAGCAGGCATTGCCTCCACAAGCAGACAGACACCTCCTGCACCTCAGTGGGGACCCCAGCAGTTCATATTCACTTCAGGTTAAAACTCTTGGTTATCTGCTAAATGCAATTTAATACTGAGGGCAAAAAGGGGAGCCCCACCATAGGTGAAGAGGAGCAGGGAGCAGGACTGCTCTCACCACCCACCAGTTAAAGCAGCCCTAGTTTTACATGCACTTTGGGCCACACGTGTTCCTGCACGCACACTCTTGCTGAGCCAGCTCCAACTCTAAGCTTTCCCTGAAGGGAAAGCAGCCTATAAAGTCTTGCCCCCTCACTTGACAGCAGCTACCATCCAAGACAGCCCTGTTCCTTTGCCATAAGCTAGTGGGTTGGTTACAGCGTAGTGATCTTAATGCCAGTAGGAGCACTTGATCTCACCCTCACAGGCCTCTGCTAGGATATGCTTTGAGCTCAGCTTTGAACCCACAATCCTAGGTAGGACAATTCAGCAATCAGGTGAAACAAGGACCAGCAGTCAGAGCAAGACCACACTCAGCCCAGAGGCATCAGCCCTGCTGGGTGTGAATATGGCACAGTATGCTTAAACATTCACCGCAGGAGGCCCTGCCCGTAACGCGCTCGGTTGACAGAGCTTCACACTCCCAAGTGAGTCAGGATGCAGAGTACTTCACGGAACACGTCTTTGCAGGAAGACAGTGCCTCTCCCAGCTATGGATGTGCAATTAAAAGAGTAACTAGAACAGTCTCAGACCAAGCACAGTCTGAGCAAGATTCGTTCCTTCCAAGTGTGCAGATAAAAGTGCAAATATGCATTTGATGTTTCTTTTCTAGTGAGGAAGCTCTGGTGCATTTAGCTGCCAACATCTTGAAGACCAGACCAAAAAAAAAGCTTCCAGAGAGTTCAGCTTCACTTTGCTACATGGTACCTTAAAGTCACAGTTCTCTTGCTTACTGCCTGCAGCCATAGGCTCAGTCCTGCTTACAGCTGCAGCAGGTAGTGGAATGTTTGTGTCGATGAGTTAGATGCTTCAGGGAAGAAGGAAAGAGAAAACCAGGTTACAATCCTATACATGAATGCCACTTCTGGGAAGAAAGGGACCTTGCAGCCTCTTCAGTTCTGTGGTGCAGGGTATGAGC